AAACACCTCCAGCCTGCGAGGGAAGAGCACTTCACCATCAAGGGAGTCACTGCCAGTGGTGGGCTTAGGGTTTGGGCTGGGGCGAGGGCCACTCATTTCAGATGGGCCTGACCCTCAGCCCTGAAGTCCTCCACGGCCCCCTGCTCTCACAGCTCTGGGATAGTGAATCTCCCGACGGCTGCTCATTAATCCTCCTCCTCCTCCTCCTCTTTCCTTTTCCTCCCCACCCGGACCCCACAGGCAGCAAAAGAGACCCTGGCCAAAGCGGTGCTGGCGGAACTGCCCCAGCAAGTAGTGCAGTATTTCAAGCATAAAAACCTGCCCCCCACCAACTCCGAGCCTGCCTGAGCCCGTGCCCAGCAGCAGCATGCCGGCTGAGCCCCCAGCACCCCCAGGAACGTGCACGTTCACCCTGCTTCCTCGTGGGTGGCCTTTTCTACCAGTCCACATTTTCATTTTTTACAACCGGACCTCCGCCCCCAACTTCCCCCAGCCCAGCTGGGCTTCCTTTGTCAGAGCCGACGGATGATGCTTCCAGGACAAACCGGCTTCCTCTCCCCGCCCCGCCCCCTGCCACTCTGAGTATTGAATGTACTTTGTATAATTTTAGTGGAATTATTGTTATTAAGGAGAATAAAATTTTTACAATCATAACTGGCTTTTCCTAAGTAACTAGCTGCAAGAAGGAACGTGCCCCCAGTGCATACTTTGTATGGTGGCCTCCTCTGGTTTATACTGGGACTGTGTTCTACTTGTTCTACTCAGGGTAATAAAGGAGTATCAGTTGTTGCCTGTCAGCTCCTTGCATGGTGTGGGTCAGTGGGTCAGTCTGGAAATGGAAACGAATAGACTCCTAGCCCCACTCCTGAAGAGTCGGCGTGATCACTTCTGCCTGGGGACAGACATTCCCTGTCAGCGGCAGTGATGCCTGAGAAAGTGGCACAGGACACGGTACCCTCACAGACTGTACAGACGTGAGAGACGCCTGGGCCCAGCCGACACTTCATGCTCTTCTAACTCTTGGCCCACACTGTCTACCTTTCACTGCGGCTAGACAGCAGCCGCCGCCACCCACTTCCAGCTCTGGATGTCCTAGGCAGGGTTGAGGGCTTCGGGACCCTCACCAAGGTTCATCTGTCCCTGCTCTTTCCACGCATGCCCCTCTTAGCACACAGCCCTCCTCCCCGTTCCTTCCTCAATTCCACATAACACCTGTCCTCTTGCCGAGTCCTAGGCCTCCTGACAGGCTGACATGCGACTCTAGCAGTGGATGTTTCTACTGAGCACCACGTTTCTAGCTCCCTGTACCAGCACTGTTTATGAACCTCCCACAGCCCGACCATGACCCCGCAGACACAGAAACACACCATACCTACTGGACAGGCAGAATGTGGATGGAAGTGTGGCTGGCCCTTGAGCATGCATATCCTACTATACCCAGCATCCCCTTAGCTCTGCAAGGGGCTTTCCCACTCACGCTGCTAATGACCTTACACTACTCCACCGGCATGGGAGCCAGGTACCTCTGCCTTCTCCCCAGGCCAGTCCTTCCTAGCTGCTGGACTTGGGCAGCACTGGGCAGGTCCCCATCTCAGGAGCCATGGCGTCTATGGTGGGAGGAACAAACTTCTGCGGCCACCAGATGCTCGTTTGAGACAGGGTCTCACTATGTAGCTCAGGCTATCCCAGAACTATGTAGACCAGGCTAGCCTTGAACTCACAAAGATCATCCTGCTTCGGTCTCCTGGGAGCTAGGGCTAAAGATGTGTGCCACCACACCCAGCTGCTAACTGCTCATTTACTCCTGGCTCGGCCACCTGGGGAGTCTAGTGGCCATAGCTCCCAGGTAGGTAACAAAAAGCCAGCCGTTGGGCATAAATAAAAGTCCTGGTTCTGTCATGTAGCAGGGCAACCAGGCAAGTCATGGGGCCTCTGGGAGTTTGGGGTTCCTCTACAGAAAGTATAGAAGGGCTAGCTTCAGAGGGCTTTTTCAGAATGAAAAACACGAGTCTAGCAGGCTTCAGTGGTGTCACAGAAGCAGAAGACTGGCCTGTCTGGGGTCCCAGGGGGCCTTTCTGTGTCTCCTCTACAGCTGGGGCCAGGGCTGCCCGTTAATGCTGTTCCAACTCCCTCTGAAACCATTTCTCTAGCAGGTACGGGAACAACGCCAGCCCACAACAGTCCTTCAGGTGTGACTGTGCAACCTGTGACTACAAAAGCGTTGACAAGATTCCAGCCGAGCATCGAGCACCAACTGCATTCCATCCTGGCGTGTATAAGTAGGCTGGGCATGCCAGGATGCCAGGAAGCCACCCGAGTCCAACCAAATAGCTGTGCCGTGCACTGCCACTGAGCCCGGCTTGTTTTCCTGAAGGGGCCTAAGATGACAGCTGAGTCACATACCCACAGCAAGGACATTCTAGCTAAGGAACCCGGTGTGCCTAAGCAATTAACATTTGGCTAACTGGAGCTAACGCAGAAGCTGGTGAAGTTGGCAAGCAGCTCTGACCCTCCCAATGTGTTACTGTCGTAGCTACAACAGGGGGATACCAGTGCCATTCAAACCTGTGGCTGCTGCTAGAGACTCTGGACACCCTACCCAGGCACGGGAGGAAGCTGCTGTCACTCCTTTTTCCTAGGGGACAGGAAGGGGGCAGGTGAAGGCCCTTGTCTGCCCGTATGCTGGTCCACTGGGGCTTATCTGCAGAGGGTAGAAAGGCTGCTCTCTAGAAGCTGAACAGCAGGCCTGGTCCAGGCAAACCAAGCTTTTCCCTTAGGTGAAAAGGAAGAGGCCGAAAGGGAAGAATTCAGGAGCTGGGAAGCAAAGGCACAAAGTGATAAGGAGCAGAGTCGCCTCTGATGAGGTACTTGACTGAGTAGAGGGTGCTCCTGGGGGCGGGGGGGGGGGGGGTCTCGCCTCAGTCTGAGGAATGAGCTACTGGGTCCTGGGACCTCTGGAAGCTGTACAGGCAGGGAGTCAGCTACCTGGCTAGGTCCAGTCACATCAGCCGCTTGCTTTTTCTAGAGGGAAAACAGGTGACTCAAATTTCAAGTCTCTTTCCTCTGTATCCAAGTGGGCAATAGGCCTCAGGTAGGCAAATGTCAGGAAGTGACTGCCGGATGGCTACAAGTCGGACAGTCCCTTGCCTCCCAGCTAGAGCCAGCAACCGAACACTGTTCTATCCAAGTGGTCTCAGAACCGTAAGAATTCTGAGATGAGGTGCAGGCAGGCTTAGGGAAACCAGCCCCAACCATCTTTTGTACTTTCTTACCTGACTGTAAAATCCCAGTTACTCAGGCACAGAACAGCGGGTGGGACCGGTCCCCAGCCCCTCCCCAGGGGTCACCATCCGCAGAGGTTCAAGTCCTGACTGTAAAATGGTCTGTCTGCACAGAACCCATTCATGTCTTCCTGCATACTTTCAGTCATTCCTAGCTTGCTTACTCGATTTACATCAACTTAGGACGCCTACAGCAATGTGATATTCTAGAAGTTGTTACTCTCGTTTCGGGAGTAAAAAAGCATGTGCGTGTTCAGGGAAGGCTGGCTGCGTCTGAGGGTTGGAGTGGGGTTGCCTTCCACGTCTGCTCATTCTGTCTTCTGTGGGGGGAACGGAGGTCTGCCCGGCCTGCTCCCCTTGTTGGTTGGCCTGCTTTGCCACAGAACTGGCGTTTCGGTTACAGGCCTCTACACCATCGGGCACAACAAACTATGGTAGAAAGGCCACCGGTGTGACTCAGGCTTTCCGGAGACACCGAGAGCAGAGACCAGTCAGTCCAAAGTTGGGCACAGTGGCACTCACTCATCAGTGATCCCAGCACTCCGGACGCTGAAGCCGAAGAGTAAGTTTGTGGCCAGCTTGGGCTACACAGCAGACTCCGTCAAAAGAAAGGAAACCCGAGTCTGCTCAGCACAGTCAGCTACAAATGACGGGAGGGCCGGGAGCACGACATGGGTACAGAGTGAGAGCTTGCTCTGACAGGCTCAAAAACTGAAGTTAAGGGACAGTTCTCAACCTCACAACCCTGTCACCCTTTGTCAACATCAACAGAGACCATGAGGTACACGAGTGGCCTCTGAAAAATCAAGCTACGTGAAGCCGATGCCTGATGTCTTGGTGTGCCTCCTGAAATGGCTCAGGGTTGCTGTGGGTGCGGGAACGCGCTGCAGGCACGACAGCACAGTCACAGGAACGATGACACAAAGAGGCAGGAGGTGCTGCAGTCCTAGCCCAGTCTTGTCAGGCTGGGGCTGACACGCTTGACTGACAGTCAGGGAAGATCAGCACCGACACTGGGAGGCTCTGCAAAGGATGGCGGCGCTCACAGGCATCCACAGCGGGTGAGGGAAAACCACCATCTGCTGGTGGGCACCAGTGTCAATACACTGGAAGGGGAAAGGAAGGGCTGGATGAGATCCAGGGCCCTCTCTGCCCACGTTGAAACCGAGGAGCTTCCTCTGCCTGCCAGTATGTCAGTGCCAACACATTCGGTGTGTGTCTCTCTCGTCTCACACCCATAGGAAGGAAAACAGAATGGATACTGGAACCAGGAAGTGAAAGCTCAGGCTCATTCTGAAGCAGGCGCACACCGACCGTCAGATATAGCTCCCTCCCAACCTGGGTCCTGCATCCTGCTCCCTCCTGCCCTCCTCCAGAGACAGAAACAGGCAAGACCTGCTGCTCCCGGCCCAGAGCTGTGGTTTGGGAAGCCTGGGGACAGTGGGAGGTGGGAGGAGGGGCGGGGACAAAGGGGTGTAGAGGAAAAGTACTGAGGCAGCAGCACCTTAGGCTGGAAATACCTCACAGTCAAAAGCTACGACTCTGTATGTGCAAACAGCAGGGCCTGTGGAGTAGAGCACAGCCCAGCCATCCCAGGCACGGCCCACTAGTTTGCAGTCGAGGATTCCAGAAACTGCTAGGCATTAGTCATCTCTTTAACACAGCTATCAGCAGTTAAGAGTTTCTGGCTATGATTCAGTAAGTTTGCATCTGCAATGCTTAGAATTTTAAACTAAATTTTTTTATTTCAAAAACAAAATCAAAACAACTTTCCAGGGAGAGAAGGTGGGCAGAAGATGGACATGTCATCATTACCAGCTCCTTCCTACCTCCTCAGGCTGGGTGGAGAGGGGAGAACATGGACGAGCATCACCTCGAGGGCTGTGGCTGGCAATCTTTAGTCATACAGCATCCAGGAAGGGTTAGTTCTGGGGCAGAGCTTTGTCATCCGCTAGTCAGCCCTCCTCTATGCCCACACACAACAGGGGAGAACCAAGCAGCCCCCTCACCTACAACAGTATCGAGATAATGTCTGCCTCTGCTTCCTGTGCCACCAGGGAAGGAGAAACGAGAACGCAACAAGGTACAGGGAAGCCCTGCCAGCCAGCTGGAGCCTGTCCTCTCACCGTCGTCGGTGGCAATTCTGAGACTTGCCTCAACGCCAACCCCTCCTATCAGTGGGACAGGTTTGGTCATCTGCACTGGAGGATCAAGAGAAATCAAGCAGAGTTTGAGCCACAAGTGGACTGCGGCACATTTCTGGGTTAGGTTAAAATGTCCCATATGCACAGGAAGCAGGTGAAGACGTTTTTTGAGGGAGGTGATGTCGAGGCAGAACAGGCATCTAACTCTCTGGGGAGATGCTCCCCGCGGTCATGTCAGGAGCTAGGGTGCTTCGAGGAAGGTGTTGGTTCGGAAGATGGAGGAGACGATCTTGCCTGTGGCATTGATGGTGCCCTCGCTGTCTGAGCTGGACTCGGAGTCACTGCTCCCAGAGTAGGCACCCAGGCCAGGGAGGATGCCGATGCAGACAGCAGCAGATGGGCAGTGGATGGAGGGTCCGCTCAGAGAAGAGCTTCCAAGAGACACGCAGGATGGAGCCTCTGCAAAAGGGAGGACAGGAAGTCAGTCCTCACGCTTCCTAATGCTGAAGGGTCAACCCAGGCCCTGGACACCATGCCAGGGCTCTCTACAGAAAGCTCCGGTGCTGCAGAACAACCTATGCAGTCACAGGAGGCTCTGGACGTCTTTGTGTTACAGGTGAGGAACCAACAGAGAGGAGAAAACGGAGTTGGAGTCTGCCCACACTCTCTTGCGCCCCACCAGTTCTGAGAATGTCACCTATCATAGTTTGATTCCCTGTCTTCACAAGTCATGGTCTTACAGCAAGTGTGACTCAGGTATGATGTCTTCTTTAGCTACTCTTGTGGCCCTCAACTGGAGGCTAGATTAAGAGACCAACTGTGAGCGATACTAACAATTTTATGATGCCATACTTAGAGACCAGTATACTGACTAGCAGGGATCAGCCATACAGTTATGCTTTTTATGGGGCATTTTCCCAGGATGGGGAGATGGGCACCTCAGAAACTGATTTATCACTTTTGCTTTTTAGTTTTTTAATACTGAGAAGCACTGAAGGAAACATTTTAAAACAATGTATAATGCCACCATGTATATGGGCTCTTCTTTCCAGGATATGCAGTGATTCTGCTACTCCAATGACGAAGGCCTCAACGACAACATGCAAAACTTGACAATTAAAGGAAAAGTTAGTGCTCTCAAAAAGGGCCTAAGTTCTGTCCCTAGCACTCGCATCAGCCAGCTCACAACCTGTACCTCCCACTTGGAGGATCCAGAAGCCCTCTGATGGCCTCCATGGCACTACATTCGTGCATATACACCCAGACATGTATATATACACATAGTTAAAAACCACAATCTCTAAAAACAAAATCAAACAAACCTAAACTAAGAATGGCACTCCATTCTTTCTTCCCTCTGAATGTCTCCAGTCTTATTTAGTCACTGTGACGACAACTCGTATGTAGGTGTGCTCCCTGCTTACTGATGAGGGAAGTCGAATGCGCTGGTAAGTGCACAGGCTAGAGTATACAAGACTGAACTAAACCTGCACCAGAAGACGCTCTACTAAGCGATGCCAAAGCTCACTGGAGCAGAAGGCTCAGTTCCTAAGCCACTACCTGGGGCTGACAAGGACGTCCCTTTTGGGGTTTGCCTTCCATAAATCTACACTCACTTGTGCAGATACCTCAAGAGAATGCAAAAGGGACACTGACTCCAAGGCTCTCCTGAGAAGAGTTATCAGCCGTCGTCGGACACAGAGGTCAGCTCAGGGTGCCTGTTCCTCCACAGCAGGCAACGGAGAAGCTGCTGGAGACAGGCAAAGCTCACACATCTCAAGATGCACTGAGAGCAGTGCTGGGAGACAGCAGTGAGGCTGACGGGGAAGCAGTGGCAAATGCTTGCAACAAACACCGCAAAAGCTACAACTTTAAGATGTAAAGAGCTTCTCTAATCCGTTCGAGAGAAAACAAGCTGTGGGGCTGGGGAAAGCTTCCGCAGTAGGCGCCTGCGCTTGCCTAGCACGTACAAGGGCTCTGGGTTTGATTCTCAGCACCGCAAAAAAAAGAGAAAAATAAAGAAGCAATCAATCAACAACTAAAAAGCACAAAGAGCAGGGTATGGCAGTGCACACCTATGATCCCAACACTGGGAGGCTGGGGCAGGAGACTGCTCTAAGTCCAACACCAGCCAAGACTAAATAATGATGATGATAAAATAATAAATGGGATAACCTGGGATATATATATACTGGAGCTCTTGTCTAGCATGGTATGAAGTCCTGGCTTTGATCCCCAGCATTGCAAAAAACTTGGCATGGTTAATTGTGCTAGATAGTTTTATGTCAACTTGACACAAGCTAGAATTATTTGAAAGGAAGGAATCTCAATTGAGAAAATGCCTTCATAAGATCCGGCTATCGGGCAGTTTCTTACTTGGTTATTGATGGGGAGGACCCAGCCCATTGTGGGTGGGGCTATCCCTGGGCTGGTGGTCCTGGATTCTATAAGAAAGCAGGCCGAGCAAGCCAGTAAGCAGCACTCCTCCATGGCCTCTGCATCAGCTCCTGCCTCCAAGTGCCTGCCCTCACTGCTTTTGATGATGAACTGTTATATGGAAGTGCAAGTCAAATAAACCCTGTCCTCCCTAGGTTGCTTTTGGTCATGGTGTTTCATCACAGCAACGGTGACCCTAATTAAGACAGTAATGCATGCCTATAATCCCAGTACCTGGGAAAGAGAGGAAGATTAGAAGCTGAAGGTTATCCTTGGCTACCCAGTGAGTCTGAGGCCAGCTTGGCCTCCGTGAGACCTTGCCTTAAAAACAAAAGGACACAGAGGGCAGGAGCAGCGCACAGCACACTACAGCAGGAGTCCTAAACCAGGCAAAGAAACGACTGTCAGGAAGGAATGTGGGAGCAACAGGTCAAGAAAATCTGGCAATGACCTCCAGACTTAACCAACCATTGTGGGATGTGGTCCTCGGAGCCAAATAACCACTATCTTCATGAGACCAGCTGTGGCTATGCATCAATCAAGCCCGCTGACTGCTTGACATTCCTCAGAGAAGGAGAGGATGGAGAGGGTCACTGGACCACCCCTTCTAAAGATGAAGAGTCATTTCTAGGCCCTAGGCACAGTGCCAAGGCTTCCCCTGAAGAAGCCCCAGCATAACACAACAACCCTGATAACCAGAGGAAGACTCCAGCCACCCCTCCATCCATCTATAACTCTGCCCTAATTACACCCGGGGTAGAGGGCAGGGTATCGTGGAAGGTGCTAGAGTACTTGGCTGGGGAAGGCTAGCTGAGGAGAGCTCCATCTATGCAGCTAAGGGAAGCAAGCCATCGTCCATGCTGGGTGAAGACTCCCCAGGATGGCTGCCCTGGGATCTCCCCGCTCCTGCAGTAACCTCTCACCCATGCTCTGTAAGCCCAATCACACACTGATTATCCAAGATGAATTGGTGGATTCTTCCTCTGTGTGGCTGTTGAGACCTTATAAGAAGGGGGCAGATGTTTACATCTCTGCAGGGAAGGACTTCTCACAGCATCAGTGGTGTTCCTGAGAACTGTTTAGAGCAGGAAAAAGGAGGTGTCTACAGAAGCTGTGCTGGTTGGTGTTTGCCAACTTGGGACAAGCTGAATCACCTGAGAAGAGGAACTCTCAACTGAGGAATACTCATCAGATTGTCCTGTAGGCATGTCTGTGGGACCTATCGTTATTACTTAACAAGAGACGCAGGAGGGCCAAGTCCACTGTGGGCAGCGCCACCCCTGGGCAGGTGGTCCTAGGTTGTATAAGAAAACAGGCAGAGCAAACCATGGCCATTAGGCCAGTAAGCAGCATCCTCCATGGCTCCTACCTTGCTCTTGCTGAGCTCCTGCCCTGACTTGCAGTGATGGACTCTGAACTAGAAGTGTACAGTAAACCTTTTCCTCCCCCGGTATTTTGGTTGGGGGTTCATCACAAAGAAGCACACTGGGCCAGTAGGTCAGTGACTAAGAATAAAGACTCTTGGGCTGGAGCAGCAGCTCAGAGCACTCAGCACAGAGTACTACCCTCATATGCACACAGTTCTGGGGTCTATCAACAGACTGGGGGAAGAGGAAAAGAAACAAGTCTATCTTCACTGGAAATGAATGGTCTCTAAGACGTGCTAAATGAAAAAGGTGAGAAGCAGAGCAATATATGTAATTTGGAGAGAATCAGAAACATGCCCATGCATATATATGACAACCCCGCACCGCCCCCCCCCGCCCCAAAAAAAAAACAAAACATGAAAACCTGCAGCAGCATATGGCCTGGGAAGAAACTGGTGGCTAGTGAGCAGAGGAGACTTACTTTTTACTGTATTCTTTCTAAACTATTATATACATATATTAATCATTCAGACATTGTTTTTTAAAAGGCAAATAAATTCAAAGAGCATCCTGGCCATTTCATCAGAGCAGAACAGTCCCACCACTCCTCTAGCCAACCCCCACCCCACCCTCACCCCCCACCCCCGATATCCTTCCAATAAAGGAAGAGAACTGCAGAAGCCTCAAGGCCTGCCCAAGGGCAGGATGCTCGTCTGTACTCCCCACTAAAGTGAGTCACGACCCCTGAAAGGGGCGCCCACCCCACCACCACCCTGAGACACACTCTGGTGTGGCAAAAAGTAGGCCAGAATTTATGATGGGAGTCATGGTTAATTTGGGGGAAGGTGGGGTGATGGTAAAAATCTGATGGTTTTAATATTTGAGACATGACAGTAAGTTGTATAATTCATTCCTTGAGCGTTTGTTGTATTATTATGCACCACACAGAATGCTTTCAGAAGCGGAGAATAAAAGAATCAAGTTCAGAGTGCCTAGGAGTGCTGGCCCATGGAAGGATGGAGCTAAGGACAGAGCTGCAACAGGCATCTGGACTATTGTGACGCAGGAATCTGGACTATTGTGACGCTGGAATCGCTTAAGGGAAAGGACCAGAACCTCCAATTATCTAGGAAGTTTCAAGAGAAAAGAGACTGCAACTCTGACAAATTTCATTCCAAAAGCAGTTCACTCCCCACAGAGAACAAAATGGTGCCCTCTGATCTCACCATTTGGGGATGTTTCCTGCCAACTCCTGCCTTCGCCGGACCACATTGTCATAGCAAGTTAGAGAAAATTATGAATAGAGAATGTTCTTGGAATGCAGGCAGATGGAGAGAGTACATAGGCCACCTTGCATGTTTGTTGGCTCAGCTCAAGATAATTTTCAGTGGGAGAGCTCAATTTCTGTCAGGGTCGAAGTTCCCTTCTAGAGGACCAAGGCAAAGCCTTCCCCTGCAGAGGGCAAGATTGAAGCAAACTTCAAGGATAGCCGGTCATTTCTGGGGTCTCTTCTCCTAACAAAGGAAGGTATTTCTTGTCTAGCTTGTTCAAGAATGCAGGGATAGGAAGAAGATGTTTAGAATGACAAATATAAACTGCTTGTACATACGCAGAACAGGCCTGGGTGGAGACATAAGAAATGTACAATGGGCCGGGCGGTGGTGGCGCACGCCTTTAATCCTAGCACTCGGGAGGCAGAGCCAGGTGGATCTCTGTGAGTTCGAGGCCAGCCCGGTCTACAGAGTGAGTTCCAGGAAAGGCTCAAAGCCACACAGAGAAACCCTGTCTCGAGAAACAAAAAAAAAGAAAAAAAGAAAAAAAAAAAGAAATGTACAATGGTGTTTCTCTGTGGAAATGGAAGTGGATGGAAGAGGGTGTGGGAAGAGACTCTTCACTGGTGATCCTTTTTAAAGGTACAGGTACCATCGTTGGTACTGTAGAGAAACAACTGAAAAGGCATTCATCATTTGTTCGAGAAAGAAATAAATGTAAGCCCTGCTTTATAGATGACCAACTGAGTTGGATTTAGATCCTCGATCCCACAGGCGAAACTAAAAACAAACTCTTGAATTCCTCATTCAGGCCCAAGAACACGTCCCTTTACTGACAATTCCGTGCCACCTAACACAGAGGCAGAGTCCATCACATAAAGTCACCACCATCAAGGACAACAGACCCCTGAACACCAGTAGACACTAGGCTCAATCCAGTCCAACCACTAGCAGGAACAGGGAATTGTGTCTCCCACGGGTGAAATCAAGAAACCTGACATTTGGCAGACAGAGAAACCTTTTGTGAGCAGAGGCCATCTGACCAGGGCTTACAAGCGCTCCTGGGAGAACACAGCTGTTATTTGCCAGCTCTACTGGTTTAGAACACACTTCTTTTGTAGGGCAGCTGACACATTCATGGTAGGAATTCTTGCTTAGTATAAAATAGTTTGGCAAATTAGATTAAGGCAGGCTTATTTAAAGAGAAATAATGCACCCCTCTATATAAGATTGCAGTTAGTCCTGTCCTTCCTACGGTCCTCGTCCACCATGAGTAAAAGGAAGAAATGAAGGGACCATACCCACCTTGAGCCTTGTCATCTGGGTCGGGGTCTGGTTTCAGTCTTTTCACACTGTTGCCACTCTCTGAGCTGTAACAAAAAACATGGTGGTGTGAGCTATGTAGACGCGTAGGGATCAACACTGAGGGAATCAGAGCAGAAGAGATACTTATGAGAGTCTGGGGCAGTCTCGAGGGCTGGGATGGCTGAAACGATAAGCTGTCATTGCACTTCCAAACCTCCCAAATATAAAATCTACCTCCTGACAAACCCAAGGGCAGAGCATGCCAACTTTGGCTTTCTGTTATCATTCATTCACTTGGGTAGAACCACTGATGATTTCAAGAGCATTTCCACATTTCCACAATGACAAAAAGTTCAATTATTAAAGGAAATACTTGTGACGACATGCAGAGTTTCCAGAAAGATTTTTACTAAAAAGTATCTAAAGAATATGTTTCAATGGAGAAAGACATTATACCAGAGGGAGAGATGGGGATGTAAGTTGAAACAGGTATCTCATATATATGGGCCACAGTCCAATTTGTACCATGAAACACACCAAAGTCAGTCTGGGCAGTAGAAGAATACAGAAGAGTGAATGTAGCACAAGGTCTGAAGGTCCCTTTTGTGGGAGGGGGGCTGTGCTAGGGAGACTGTACCCACAGCTTCTCAATAGTAGGCAAGTGCTTTAGTAAAGAACTGTAGCCCCAGCCCAAGGTCTTCTGTTGGCACAATTTTTAAGGAGGTAAGATAGCTATTTATATGCCTGCTTGGTAAATTTCAAGACCTATCACTAAAAGAATAGAAACAAAGTATGTATCATGGAAAGAAAAAAAAAATATTTTAAAGTCTTACTCATTTTCCCCCTAAAAGCAAGAATATAGGAAAAAATATTTTAAAAAGTAAAGAGAGGATATGGATGTAGTTCAGTCAGGTAGACTGTGGCCAATGCCCTGGTAAAGCTGTGGATTCAATCCTGAAAAGAGCATGAACTGGGCATGCTTGCACACCCCTATAATCTCAGTACTTAGGTGGAGCAGGAAGATCAGAAGTCCAAGGCCATCTTTGGCTATACACTGAGTTTAAGGCCAGATTGGAATATATACATCCTGCTCTATAAATAATAATAAATAAATATAAATGAAATAAAGAACAAAAGTTTAAAAAAAAGCACTAAGGTGATGGATATTATATTTTAAAATCTGAATATAAATCACACAAACTAGTAAACAGATGGAGTGAATACATTTTTTAAAAAAGATTTATTCATTATGTATACAGTGTTCTGTTTGCATGTATCCCTGCAGGCCAGAAGAGGGCACCAGATCTCATTACAGATGGTTGTGAGCCACCATGTGGGTGCTGGGAATGTGAACTCAGGGCATCTGGAAGAGCAGCCAGTGTTCTTAACCTCTGAGCCATCTCTCCAGCCTGACTGAATACATTTTACAACAATCATTTAAAGGCACTTACCTAAAAAACTTAACAAAAGAAACCCCCCCCCCCAAAAAAAAAAACTCAATACCCAGAAAGATTCAAAGTGGGAGCACGGATCAAAGGAGATGGAGGCAACAGCAGAGCGAGGAGCGCTCGGTACTGACGGCTCAGTACTGACGGCTCGGTACTGACGGCTGGTCTTCACCTGACTCCATCTGGAATTAAACAAACCCTGGTGTCTTATCACTGTTCTGTTGCTGTGAAGACACCAGGACTAAAGCGACTCTCATTTAATTCAGGCCTTGCTTATAGTTTCAAAGGTTTAGTTCATTATCATCATGGCAGGGAGTGTAAGAGAGACAGACAGACAGAGACAGAAAGATTTTCCTCAAAATCACCTAGAACATTAACTCTAGGAACAAGTGACAGAGTCTAAAACCCTACCAAAAAACCAGGATGGCAAGGCATGGTGGAGCCCACCTGTAACACTAGCACTTGGGAGGGAGAGGCAAGGATAGAGAGCAGCCTGGTGTATGCCACAAGTTCTAGGCCCAGCCAGGGCTACACAGTGAGACTCTGTCTTTAAAAAACAACACAAAACAACACAAAACTGTGATATATAAACCACAATACCACAACACAATTAAGTTAGAAATTAGTAAGGGAAAAATAAATACTGAATTTCATAGCCTCTAAGATACTATGATTATAAGGTGTTAGTAATGTGTGTGTGTCGGGGGAGGTATATTAGAACCAAGTGAAGTATGGAGAAGTTACCTCGATATTGAAAATTTAAAATATATTTCAATATTTCTGAGACAAAGAAGAAACCACAGTGGTAACTTTAAATACATAGTAGGCAATATAAAACTGTACTTGATGAGAGCTGGAAGAAGTAAACAGCGGTGAGCACCTCTAATTGAAGACTGAAGTGAATGAGCGCAGGGATCCCACAGGAGTTTAAAACAACAGACACAAGAATGAACTTGAAAAAAGCAAAGATATGAAACAGGTTGTTTGTTTGGATGCTTCACACACACCCTGGGGGCTTCCAGATTTCCACCGGGGATCTGAATTGTCCATGCAACTTCAACAATGAAGACTCCCACACTTTAAATTTACTGTATCAGTGAAGCCCAGGAGTCCACAGTATTGACAAACTCTCAGGTTATTTTGAATGAACTAGGGCAGGGGAGATCAGAAACTCCTGCCCCAAGAGGCTAACGTGTCACCTTGCTACAAAAGCAACATTAAATGATGTACTCTGAAAACCCAAGAGAGCCTCTATACAGATCAACAAATAAGCTAACAGAACCCTTCCTAAATATGATATAAAGACTAATCAAGGGAGACAGTTGAAATACCCACTTGGCAGCAGCAAGAGTACCCAAGAGGTAAGTGCCCACCTGGAGAGCTCATCAAACTGGCCCAGGTCTGATTCCTGAGAGCCAATGAACTTTGAGAAGCTTACACAGGGTGTTAAAGATTCATGCGTCTTTAAGGTTCCTCCTCAGACCACTGGTCCTCCCTGTGCCGCTGTACCATGATGACATTTTTACATGTGCTCAGTGTTCCTAGGAACATCTGCAGCAGATAGATGTTGTGCCAAACCGCAAGACTGCATCAATACACTCTATTCAAAACATGTGGCTGGTTGCCAATACACCATATTGATTTTCCTAATAGACTGCACTTAACATCATTTCGCCCACGGTCTGGTCGGTCAGGCTGATTCAATCACTCTGGTGCCATCTCAGGATGTGAAAAGGGAAGAGCAAACATGACAAAGAACTTATCAGAGTCTATGGTAGTGCTTCTACCCCCGCATCAGTCACCAGGAGCTGGAGCCAGGTCTGTAACCCTGGCTCAGCTGCCGTATTCTCAGTGCCTGCCTTCGTAGCGGCTGTTCTCGCGGTTTTCTCCCTTGCCGCCTGTCAGCCCTGGTGCCCCACCCCATCAGCCCCTCTCCAACTTCTGAGCTGAGCTGTGCTCCTCCTCCAGGCTGTCACCGCTCACCAACAACAATCCTCAAGCACCTGCTGCCTCATCTGCCTAGAGACACAAAAACGCAAACACTGAACTCTTGCTTTATGACTGTATGACCTTGGAGAGAGTTCTTCATCAGCCACGTTGTCTTTCTGTCTGTAAAACAGGGGTCGTAATAAAGGATGCTCTGTGAACGGGTGAGAGGAATTTGTGAACTCATTTGAGGAAATCTGACACACAGCAGGTGCTCAGTGAAGAAGAGCTAGAAGTCAGCTATACGAATGAGTGATCCAGTCAGTCTCAGGTCAAAGGCTACACGGACACTAAATCTGGCAGGGGAGAGAAAGGCAAGCACACTAACAACACTGTCACAGCAACATGCTGAATAACCATTTGAACTGGGCACCATTACAAGTGGCATTTCGGAGTGTGTGGCATTTCGGAGTGTGTGGCCAGAGGGAGATTTACACGTGTGCTCACTGGCTGACCTCTTGTGCTTCACAGCTCCTGCCAACAGCTTTGCCTGAGAGAACTTGTTCTTGGCTTCTATGGGTTTCACAGCCAGCTTCTTCTCTACTTCCTTATTTTCTGCAGAAATTCCAACCTTGTTGAGATTACTGTGAGTTACAGGTTAAGGGTCAGATTAAGCAAAGGAAGAAATACTACAAAGCAAAGGTAAATCCAGAGGACAACAAATATAACCCGAAAGCCCCTTGGCAGAATTAACGAGACCCCCCTGCCCTGGCTTCCCAAGTGGTTGGGATATAGGCCTAAACAGCCGATCGTGTGTGTGTGTGTGTGTGTGTGTGTGTGTGTGTGTGTGTGTGTGTGTGTGTGTGAATGCAGGCGTGTCTGGGTCACTTGTATGCATGTGGAGGCCAGGACAACCTCAGGATTTGTTTCTGAGATTTGTTTCATTAAGAAACCTCCTGCCTCAAACTCCTGAATGTGCCCAGCCCTGCTTATGCTGTGTTACGTCTGCACACATCTCATTTAAAATCTTCTTACTGGAAGTGCTCTGAGGTGCTGTACCAGCAGGACAAGCTGGTCCTCACGGTTCACCAATGAATGTCAGCAGCAGTCAGGAGACAGTCTGCAGAACTCAATCTCGCCCTTGGGAGGTGAGACTTATTTCTACGGAAGTCATATATAATTTTTCAATTCCCTTTATATTCCTAAAGATCTCTGTTTTGTGGCTGGCAAGATGACTCAGGGAGTAAAGGCACTTGGCACAAGGCTCGAGTTCAATCCCTAGAGTCACATGGTAGAAGGGAGAATAGACTCCTACAAGTTGTCCTCTAACTTACACACACACACACACACACACACACACACACACACACACACACACACACACACACGGAGAGAGGCAGGCAGGCAGGCCCCGATGATGCAGGCCTATATTCCAGCTATTTGAGAGGGTAAGGCAGGAGGATCTTAGAGTTAAGCTCTACCCCGGGTTACAGACTCATCAAGGCAGCCTGGGCGAGTTAGAAAGATCCTGCCTCACACTAAGAAGTAGACAAAAGGCTGGGAATGTTGTTTAGTGGTGGAGAGATTGCCTAGCAGCTGTAAGGTCCTGGGTTCACTCCTCGGTACCACAAAAAGGGAGAAACGCCCTGTGCTGAACACTTGTCCCATCACGTTCACTGCCAGCTCACAAGGTCTGTCACCCTGTTGGCCTCTCCACTGGCAACTCGCTCCTTCCATTCTATGCTCCCCTTCACAACTTACTGAGCAGGTAGACTCTGAGGAGTACAGGCTGTTAGGATGCAGTAGCGCCTTACTGGACAACAGTGACATCTAGTGCCCAAGAAATCTAAGCAGCAGCCTTTGAAAAATGGAGAGAACCAGGCACCAGACATAGGTCATCAGACTAGGTGGCAAATGTCTTTACCAACTGAGCCATCTTGCTAGCCCTCAATCTTCATTTTCTTAAAATTATGCTTAAGTGTGTGCACACGCACCCCGCCCCTTACCCCTGCCCACACACGATGCACATTTCCAGGCAAGTGTATAGAGGTCAGAAGGTAACTTTCAGGAGTCAGTTCTCTTTCTACCATATGGATCTCAGGAATCAAACTCAGGCCATCAGGCTGCACTAAGCCCATCTTGTCAGACCTAAATGTTCATTTTTATGACTTTTCATTTTTACGAAAGAAACAATTTTCCTAGGAAAAAAATGTCAAAATCATTAGCACCTTGTGGTTCTATAACTCTGTCACTAAGGCATAGAAGCTATAAAAAAAAGAAAGGAAGGAAAGAAGGAAGGAAGGAAGGAAGGAAGGAAGGAAGGAAGGAAGGAAGGAAGGAAGATAGAAAGAGAACAAAATATTAGTACCAAAATGTGAAAAAAATAAGCACATCAAAACATACATGTATTTATAATAACTAGACACAGATTTAAAAAATATTTAACTTTTCTTTTTTTCGGTTTTATGAGACAGGGTTTCTCTGTGTAGTCCTGACTGTCCTGGATCTCACTCTGTAGACCAGGCTGGCCTTGAACTCAGAGATCCGCCTGCCTCTGCCTCCTGAGTGCTGGGATTAAAGATGTACACCACCACTGCCTGGCCTACTTTTCATTTTTTTAAAGCAGAGTTTTCTCTGGCCATCAGGACGGATCGGCAGGTAAAGGCACCCGCCGCAGCCGCCGCCGCCGCCGCCGCCGAGCCTGACAACCTGAGTCTGATCCCTGGGCCCCACATGGTGGAGGGAGGGAAGAGACTCCCACAGCTGTCTTTGACCTACCCCCACATGCATGCTCCATCCTTCAACTAATAAATGTTCTCAGAAGTTAAAGAGAAGCTCCAACCTTTACAGGGAGAGGGTAGTAATATGTTTTTATTCACATTCACAGCACAGGATTTTTTCTCCGTATACTTTTTTCCCTTTCAAACAAACACATCCCAAATTTTCAGGCTATTAGATGAGGCACTCTGTGTGGGGGGGTGGGGGTGGGGGATGGACCTACATGTGGAGATCACAGGAGAGAACATCAGGTATCTTTCCTCTATGGTTTTCCACCTTATTCCTTTGAGATAGGGTCTCTCAGTGAATGCTGTTTCATTCCAAAGCTAGTTTCAGCCAGATTGGCTGGCCAGGAAGCCAGGTTTTCTCTGGTCTCATTCTCCCAAGGCAATCATACCTGTTTTTTTCCACATGGGTGTTGGGGAGTAGAACTCTAGCCTTCATGCCTGTACAGACAGCACCTCGTACACCACCCACTGAGCCACTTTCCCAGGCCCAGGTAAGGCTTTTTTTTTTAAAGTTTATTTTTATTTAATGTGTATGTGTGTTTGTCTGCCTATATGTATGTGTGCCACAGGTGTGCAGCATCTGTGGGGGCCACAAGAGGGCGTCAGATCCCTGGGACTGGAAATAGATGATTGTGAGCTATCACATGGGAGCTGTGAACTGAACTTGGGTTCTCTGCTAGAGCAAGTCAACAACTGAGCCATCTCACCACCCCCTAGGTAAGGCATTTTTAATTATACAATTTTGGATATGCATAATTTTGCTAAAGACTAGCATAATCTTGAGTGGGATCAACGGAAGCACTACTGTTCACATGACACAAATCATAGCTCACTTGTGTTCACAAGTGTTGTGTTATAAAATACACGTTAGAGCAAAGCCAGGAGTCAGCATCTGATCTCGAGTACTCTTAAACAAACATATAATTCCTGTCTCTACATATCTGGCTACTTGGGTGTTTGGAATCGGTATTATGTATCTGCAGGTAAAGGGCCTGCTTTTCTTCAGTTTTGCAAGACATCATATCAGAACTCTCCCAGTTTCCAACTAAAGCCAACACCCCAAAGTCTTTCCAATTCTCTACTACGGTGTCACCAGCCAGAAAGTTTCTGGTTCTTTCTTTCCTTTAAGTTGAAAACAGAAGGGCATTTTACATTCATAGCACTACCCTCTAGAATGTTCCTCTGATGGACATTTATTTACTAGTCTGCCAATCTAAAACAAAACAATTTATGTGGAAAATGTAATATATTTTCTTAGAAGAGAAAAGCCTGGTGTCTGAAACATGACACAGAAAGATCTGCCTATCTCCACAAATGTGTCAGCTCATAATAGTATTCTGGAGTCCTCAGGGCAGAGGTGGGGGTTCAGAAGAGTCAATCTTAAATCTACAGTTGAAACTGAGGGGTAACTTTGCATCAACTCCCAGCCTCAGACTATACCCCAATGCCACTAACAGAAAACCAAGACTGGCAGCCAGTACCTATACTCCCAGTTCTGACTGACATTAAGTCCCAGAGCATCTGCCCACATTTCCTTCCACGTAACTCTTTAATGGACCTACTGTACACTCTCTGCAGGAAAACACTAGCCAGCATAAATATAAAAGCCTACCATCAATTGGGCATAGTGGCACACACCTTTAAGCACTGGGGAGGCGGAGGAGATGGATCTCTGTATGTTAGAAGCCAGCCTGGCCTACATAGTGAATTCCAAGCCAGCCACGGATGCACATTGACACTGTCCTACCATCAATTATCAATTTACAGATAAAGCCTATTCAAACAACAGTTGAGTTTACTCAACTTACATGCCTAAATTATCCAAGTAAGCTTCCTTAAAGGAGGGGAAAGTTAGGTGGGTTAGAACCCACCAATAGTTCCTATGGGTTATTCACTCATTTATTTATATACTTATTGAGAATTTACTACAACCCTGGCACTGGGAAAAATTAGTCATTCTGGTCGTTATAGAACTTATTTTACATTCCAGCAGTAAAGAGATAAAATGTGCCAAAGCAAACCAATGAAAATTTCCCCTATTTAAAACAAAATTATGGGGCTTGGGGTATAGCTCAGTAGTAGAACATGTGCTCAGAATGTATAAGTCCCTGGATGCCACTCTAAGTACCACCAAACGGGATTACAGACGGCAATCAAGAGCTGCAACCATACAGGTGCTTAGGGAAAGGAGTGCAGAGCTGAGACCTAAGCCATGAAATGCTAGCTAGCCTTGGGAAATCCGAGGAAGAACATGTCAGGTTGAGGACCATGAATTTGAGGGCTGGAAATGGAATCCATTTGATGAGATGGGAGCCTAAAGGCCAGAGGCCAGAGTACAGTGGACATGAAGAGTGGCTACAGAGCACAGGGGCGGGTCATCTACTCCAAGTCATGTTGAGTCTTGTAGGGTCTGATTAAAGAAGGCAGATACAAGCCAGGCATGGCGGTGCATGTCTTCAGTCCCAGCACTCAGGAGGCAAGGCAGATCTCTGTGAGTTCAAGGCTAGCCTGGTCTACAAAGGGAGTTCTAAGCCAGTTAAGTCGTTTGGCTGAGGCAGAGTAGAGGAGACCAGGAAGATCAGGAAAAAGACTCTACCGTGGCAAGAACTGGGAGCTCTTCATCAGCTAAGTTACATTTGGAGGTGCATGTTAAGACATTCAAAGGCATGTGGTATACCTCTGTAATTCCAGCACTCAAGGCGCAGAAGGATCACAAATTTGAGGCCAACCTAGACTATGCAGTGAGACCATCTCAGGAAAAGAAGGAAAAGTTAAGACAAGTAGAGCTTCCCACAAGGCAATATCAAGTCAAAGTAAAATGACCTTCATTGTTCCCTGAGCCTGCTGCAGGAAGTTCTCAGGGTATGGGAGG